TCATATAATATATATATATATATATATATATATATATATATATGTATATATAATATGAATTGTTCTACGAAAGATCGGCCAATTATAAATCTTGGCATTTCCAATTTCGTTTAAATTATATATGTACTAGTTTTTACCCGCGACTTCGCTCGCGTGGATATCGGATTTAGTAATAATTTAATGTCTAGTATTAGAAATATTCTTAAAAATTATGCATATACAATAAATATTTTATAAAAGAATACAATAATGTAATAATATTACACTAACGTGATTATTATATAAGGCAGCAACATGAATATATTCACAATTTATTGTGTCATTTATTTGTACCTAATCCGTTCTTTTTTCCAACTTGTCTTTTTTTAGAAACTAGTGTTTTGGATGGCCGTACAACACCAACAATGACACCAAAGAAAAGAAAATCTAAGAGCAATTTGACACCAAGATCTAAAAAGCGCATAAAACATTATCAAAAAACAAAGTTTGTTGAAATGTAAATTATTTCGTCTTCGTAAAAAAAAGTCGTGTAGTTTGTAGTCTTGGTAATCGAACATTGGTTGGTCGAACATTAGTTAATCGAAAAATCAATGCGTTAATTGCAGAGTCAAAACTATTTCTGTCAAAAGAGACACATGCCTTATTTTCTTTTCAATTAAGATATGCTTTAAAAACCAAATATAGTAGACGATATGATGATTGCATGAAACAGATTTGTTTAACTTGGTATTATAGCTCTCCGAGAGGCTATAATGCATTGCGAAAAATTTTGAATTTACCAACACCGCGAACCTTAAGAACTTGGCAAGCTGCGATACAAGTTGATACGGGAATTAACCGTATGGTTCTACAGTCCTTAACAAATTATTTTGTGACAGTTAAAAATAAACTATGAAAAGATATGTTCTATTATGTTTGATGAAATTAGTTTGAAGGAAGAATTGTTTTATGATGCTAGCAAAGATAAAATTGTTGGAGTTATTGATAATGGAGAGAAACGAGAAAATACATCTGCAAAATCTGCACTTGTATGCATGGTGCGAGGTATAACATTAAATTGGAAACATGTAATTTGGTTTTTTGGTAATTCCAATACCTACGCAAACATATATAAAATTATAATGCAATGTATAACAAGTTTATATGACGCAGGTGCAATAGTAAAATTGTTAGTTTGCGATCAGGGGCCTAGTAATAGAAGTTTAGCTAAAAAATTTTTGATTAATGAAAAAAAAACTTATTTAACTTTTCGGGACACTAAAATATATTTTGTTTATGATGTACCTCATCTTTTAAAATCATTTCGAAATAACCTGCTGAAATATAATTTATTATACAAAGGGCAAATTGTAAGTTGGAAGCATATTTCGTCTGTTTTCTTAGCTCAAAATCCAATCACTATACGAATGTTACCAAAGATAACCGCGCAGCACATAAATGTTAACAACTTTAATGCTATGCGAGTTAAATATGCTGCTCAAGTTTTTAGTGACACTATGAGTGTGGCACTTCTTGTCCCAAAACATTTTGGAATTGTTGGGCCTGAATCAGAACATACATCAAAATTTGTTAAAGATATAGATAATTTATTCGATACTCTCAACAGCAATCGTCTTAAAGAAGACAAAATTAAATTAAGATACGCTATGAATAAAGATTCACCTCATAAAAAAATTTTGATAGATATGAAACATAATTTACAAAATAGTAAATATATTGGGTCTAATAAACGAGAATGTTTAAAAGGCTGGATTATAAGTATTATCAGTATTTTAGATTTGGCAAAAGACTTGCGTGATAACTATGGTGTGGAAAAACTATTAACAAGGCATTTAAATCAAGATCCACTTGAAAATTTTTTTGCCATTGTTCGATAACAACACGGAAATGTAAAAAATCCGAATCCATATCAGTTTCAAAATGGATTGCGACATACATACATCACTACAATTTCAAAGCTATCAGAGAGTAGTAATTGTGAAGATGACAATACATTCACATTAACGAAATTGACCGAAATGCTTCATAAAAAAAATTTACTGAGCCAGTTAACGAAGAACAGACTGATGTACAAGACCACATGGAAGAACTAAAAGATTTACCTAATATAATAGATGTTGTACATTCAATGACAGATATCGATAGAAATGGAATTTATTATGTCGCAGGGTATTTTTGTAACAAGTTTTTAAAAATTCACAAATGCACAGAATGTCAAAAAATTATTTTTGACGACGACAAATTACTTACAGGCGACCACCAATTATTTACTTTTCTCAAACAGTTTCATACATTGACAAACAGTCAAGGATTAAAATTCGTAACAGAAGAAGTGTTTGATGTTATTCAATCACTTGAAGCTATACATATAATAGTTTATTTAACAAGTTTTTGAAAAGTAAGAGTTTGACAAAAGATTTGCTTTCTATTGTACAAAATAAATATAACGTACAAATAAAATTATGTTCAAAAGAATCAAGCAAATTATTTTTTAAACTATTTTTAAAAATTAGGAATTTCTGGGCTGTTCGTTCGTTGAATAAAAATAAACCCAGCAAAGTTGTAAATAAAAAAATTCAAAAGCTGAGAAACATCATGCATGAATAATGCATGATATTTCTCAGCTTTTAAATTTTTTTATTTTGCATTATTTTTATTATAACTAGATATAGCTATAAGTATATTAAATTATGTTTTCAAATATATACTTTATTTAAATTTGTTTCTGTTTTGTTTTGATAGCGTCATTATTTCTGTATAAAAACATTTGAAAATCATTAAATATAATTTTCAATCAAAGATAATTAAAAATCGCTTTATTCCGCGCGCGCATCTTTAGTTATGTTAGGTTGGGTACCTATCACATGCGCCCTCTGACACTTCAAATGTTAACTATTTACCTAAAATGAGGGTCGTTTTTTAACATACGTTTTATATGAAGCCTTCCATTCTTCTTCTCCTTATTCTTTGGTCTTATCGTGGTGAGGATTGCATAGCGTGGTTCATCAATGAACTCCATGATTTGGCGCGCCGTGTGAAAGCAATCCTCACCACCGTCGTCCCCATGGCAGTTCTTACCCGGAAGGAATCGAAAAAATTCCATAGCGCTGTTAATTGCCACGTGTGTGAAAAACCGTTTGCACCGGAAGATACGCGGGTGCGCGATCATTGCCATCTGACCGGGCGTTACCGAGGTCCCGCGCACTCGTCGTGCAATCTAAATTACAAAGACTCCCACGTTATCCCCGTAATATTTCACAATTTATCCGGTTACTACGCGCATTTCATTATTAAAGATGTCGCTAACGCCTTTGAAGGCAACATTGATTTACTGCCGTTGACAAAAGAGCGATACATTTCTTTTACAAAAAATGTTAAAGATACGAAAGATCAAAATTCTAAAATTTGTGTAAAATTGCGGTTTATAGATTTATTTAGATTTCTCGGCACCAGTCTCGAAAAATTGGCATCTTATCTGACTACAGATGAATTAAAAATTTCACGTTCTGAATTTGACCATTTATCCGCGGAAAATTTTAATCTTCTTACGCGCAAAGGTGTATTTCCCTAGTATGTCGACGAGTATGTCGACAACGTCGACAAGCTCCGAGAGACTTGCCTACCACCGCGCGAATTATTTTACAACTCGTTGACTGGTGAAACGGTATCCCAGAGCAATTATGCACACGCGACAAATGTTTGACAAACTTTTTCAATTGAAACTTTAGGTCAATACAGCGATTTATATTTTAAAAACGGACGTTCTTTTGTTGGCGGATATTTTTCGAAATTTCCGAAACACATGTATCAAAAGTTACGGTTTAGATCCTGCTCAGTATTACACATTACCAGGATATACGTGGGACGCTATGTTGAAGCACACGGGCATCGAGTTTGAATTACTCACAGACATCGATATGGTCGTTGAACGCGGTATACGCGGCGGTCTTAGCCAATGCCCCAACAGATACGCTCGCGCAAATAATAAATACATGTCATCGTACGATCCATTGAAACCATCATCGTACCTCATGTACTTTGATGTAAACAACTTGTACGGCTGGGCAATGTGTCAACCGTTGCCCTATGCCGATTTTCAGTGGGTTGAAAATGTCGCGAGCTTTGATGTAATGTCCGTAACATCCAATTCGGCTACCGGTTATGTGCTGGAAGTCGACCTTGCGTATCCAATGAATCTTCACGACGCGCACACTGACTTATCGTTCTGCCCGACGCGTGATAAGCCGCCCGGCAAGCGGGAGGTCAAGTTACTCGCTACGCTGTGCGATAAGCAGCGATACGTCATCCACTACCGTAACCTGCAACAATGTATTCGACTCGGGTTGCAGGTTACAAAGATTCATGGAATATTGCAATTCATGCAATCTCCATGGCTTCGAGGATATATTGAATTAAATACGCAATTTCGGACACTCGCGAGCAATGAATTCGAAAAAATTTATACAAATTAATGAACAACGCGGTTTTTGGCAAAACTATGGAGAATGTACGAAATCATACGGATGTACGGCTCGTTACACAATGGGAGGGACGATACGGAGCGGAGGCTATGATCGCCAAACCAAATTTTCATAGCCGAAGCGTGTTCTCGGAGAATCTAATCGCCATAGAATTGCGGAAACTCGAAGTGAAATTCGACAAGCCGATCTACGTTGGAATGTGTATCCTCGACATATCCAAAACCTGCTTGTACGAGTTTCACTACGAGTACATGACACCTCTATACTGCGACAATTATAAAATTATGTACACTGACACAGACAGTCTGATATACTTTCTACAATGCGAGAACGTATATCACGATATGAAACGCGATCTTTCAAAATTTGATACGAGCGATTACTCCGAGGACAACGTTTACGGTATACCGCGCGTAAACAAGAAGATACCGGGTCTGATGAAGGATGAGAACAACGGCGCGATCATGACGGAATTTGTCGGACTGAGGGCGAAAATGTACGCGTTGAGAGTCACCGGCCAAAAAGACACCAAAAAGGTCAAAGGTATAAAAAAGAGTGTAGTCGCCAGAACTATAACGTTTGACGATTACACTCGATGTCTCAATGATGATATCGAGCTGACGCGGCGTCAATCATGTATCCGATCAAAGATGCACAAAGTGTACACCGTGTCAGAGTCGAAGCTCGCGCTCAGTCCGTACGATGATAAGCGCTACATCGTATCCGGTTCCACCGACACTCTACCGTGAGGACATTATAAAATACAATTGTAGTATTAGTATTTATGTATAGTTTATTATTATGTTGTATATAGTTTATACATTATATTATTTATATTGTTTATACACTAGTGTTAATATTTATGTATAATTTATATATTATTTAATAAATAACACCATTGTAGTACATGTATATAATTGTTTATTGTACAATAAATATATTTTATTACAATACATTGTTTTTATTTATCCAAGAGTTGTGCGAGGAATCAAATCCTAACTATTTTACAAACACCTCATCATCCTTTCGACGCAACACCTTCTCCACGAGATAAACATCGGGTTGAGCGGTCCTGAGCAATTCGTGTTTGTACAATCCTCTGGAGATCGGATTTCCGCGTGAATCTTTAATCAAATATGTCACGGGATTGGTTCGTTGCACCGCGACAATCTTAAATACCTCCGTAGACTAATTTGGCTTTTCTCGAATATAGTCTTGAATTTGCTGACGCGCACCGGATCGGCCACCTTAAATTTCGCTGGCGCGGCAATCTTTATTCTACTGTACACCGTGGACAAGAGTCTCTTTGCGATCGCGGGAGTGACATCGATCGGTCGCATGCCAATAGTTCGATGTTTACGATTATTGTATTCCAAGACTAATCGCGGTAAATCATTAATCCATCTATATGATTCACTGAGCGTAAAAACTTTCCACATCTCGTTCTTTAGCGTGCGGTTGAATCGTTCCACGACCGAGGCCTTTATAATTGAGTATGTCGAGTAATGATTGATGTCATGTTTCTCGATAAGTTTCCGAAAATCTCCGTTGTAAAATTCTTTTCCTCGGTTGGTTTGCAAATTTTTCGGAGTTCTTTTGTAATCTCGAAATATCGTGGAAAACGCCTCCGCCGCTTCGATTCCACCTTTGGTCTTTAGCGGAATGGCCTATGCATGTTTACCTAACACATTGATGACGGATAGAATGTACTTGTAGCCGCTGTTAAATCGCGAGTACGATCTCATCTCGACTACGTCAGCTTGCCACAAGTCATCGTATTCTTTTACAACAACAAATCTGCGTTTAAAGTTTCTTCTCGCTGGTGCGTGGAGTTCATTCACGAGCAACCTTTTCTCCAAACTAATATCGTTTTTCATTTCGATTCTTTCAGTTTGTTCTTTATTATTTCATGAAGATGCATAATATTATTTTTTTAAATACTATGAAGATCTTTAATCTCTTGATTAATCATTTGCTTCATCTGATTCATCAATTCCGCATTATCCGCAGCAATTTTTCTATTGGTTTTGGATATATCCTTATTGATGTAAGCCCGCAGATCTGTAATTTGCTTTTGCAACGTTTCAAATTTTGTGTGAATGTAAACGTTACTATCCTTCCTCCAGTTTTGTACAGTGATCTCCAAATTTTGAAGTTTTAAAAGCACTTCCCGTTTGGAATTTTCGCAAAGTAAACGATTTCTATTTATATAATTGTCCATATCATTACTAATAGTCTTGAAGCGATAATCCAAGTGTTGCTTGTTCACAGCATCGCTATCGACTTCGGGGCTGGCGAGACGTCTAATTTTACGTGACTTGGCGTTGAAAACTTCGCCATCCACGCAGAGACAATTTTCTCGTATGTAATTTCTAAAAACTCCACCGTTCCACTGAGCTTCTCCTCTCTTTGCGTCGTTTTTTACAAGCTGTATTCCAAACTTGTTGATAGACATTCCTGCAGCATTGCACAAGCGATACTGACATTAGTTGAAAGGTGGTGCTCAATTTATAATCAGACCTGCTTCACGCAGTTCCTCGATTATTGATAGAAACTCGTTGTCGTGAGCGTTGTTTCCCGCCTGACGGGAGGCGTCTAATAATCGAAGACGATCGACCAATTCATTCGGATCATCCCAGTGCACATAATCGACCGCTTTGTTGGTCACGGTCATGGTCTGCGGTGTAACGTTTCGTATCGTGCTACACTTGGGTAACGCGATATTGTGACGAGTCATCACACCTCCACCTCTCTTGTTGAGACACATTAGAGGTGCAATGATATTTTTATACTTGTATCCTTTATTCCCCAAAACCGGTAAAAGCATGTTATGACCGCGTCTGTGAGCATTGGTCGCCAAAAGTATGCTCTTGTATTTTTGTTTGTCATCCTTCGTACATATTGCATCGTCGGGAATTCTTTTGAATATCAATTCAAACAGACCGGGCGTACCCGCGTATATCACACTGTCCACAATTATGTTATCATTTTTATCGATGTCAAAGCGCTTGTCCCCAAGCAGTGTACCCTCATTGTTAAAGTACATTCCGTAAACTTGATCTGTCTTCTTATCACCGCTCAAGAGCGCTCCGATGTACTCTTGCCCCAGCGGGCCTAGTTGGCCATACAACGCTTCTCGGCCATCGGACGTTTGCATCGTCCGTCTCACAGATGTTACGAAAGATGGGTTCGTTGTTTCGAACACGCTTTCAGTCGATAAATTTGTTGGTGATTTAAATATCAATTTTTGCGGTTGGAGCGGAGTCGAGGTCCGTATTGGTGATGAAATACTCGATCGTATCCGCTTGCTCTTTTTCTCGCTGCTCAACTGCTTCCGTTTGTTGTTGTAGTTCGATTCATCCATAACCTCAATATCGAAACTAGGTGTAACCGTTGCATTCGTGATAACCGAATCATCGTCACCGCCAATGTTCTCAGTGATTTGTTTCAACGGTTTGACGATTGGTTTAAAATGCTTCTCCAAATCCGCCTCCTCCACCATCCTTCCAGTCTTCAACGCCCGATGCTTCTTGCGGATCGATTCGCTCGTACGAGCAATCTCTTTCGCTAACCTTTCCCGCTCTTCGATATCTTTCGTGTCGAGCGTCATCATCGACGCTTCGAGAACTAACCACTGTGGTACCGCAAACTCGTTAAAACCACGTCTGTATCGTCCATCGTCAAGCGCACTATCCTTGTCTATCACAAGGAAGCTGTACTTGTGTTGCTAACATGCGCGACACAATGTACTGAAATCTTCATACGTCATGTCCGTATTTACATGTTTGTTGTAGATATGTTTAAGGTTGGTACCATCCTGCTTGAATAAGATCAACAGGTTTGCGTTGTCGCGTACAAGATGTTTAGGTATCTTTGTGTACGTTTGACACAGATAGAAACAATCGATTTTGGAATGACGACCCATTACAAAGTATTCCCGTATCGCATCCTGCTTATCGCAGGCTATGTCATCAAAGATAAATATAGAATTTGATAGCGCCTCGCTCGGAGGTATCACAGTACAATTATCCGAGAATGTAAAGTAACCGATATCATCAATCAGTCCAAACAATCTTTCGAGATACTGATATTTCGGCTAATGTAATGATTTTGAGTACACGTACACGTTTTCAAAGCACACACCGTGCGGACTTTCCAACAGACTCAACATTACGTTTGTTTTACCGCAATTCGAGGGGCCGCAAATAATACCGCGTATTGTGTTTGGTAGCATTTGACCGTGTCTGGATGCACAAGCCCCTCCCACCCGCATCTTATCGTCCATGTTTTTTACACGAATCGTGTACGGTTGTTGGACAAACTTCATTTTTACTGGTTGACGTTCGACGGGTACCAGCTATTTATAAGTGCGCGCGGCTCAAAAATTCTTCAGTTGGAAAAATGTTTTTCGTACTGGCGGACGATATTTTACTTTTGACGGTCGAGGAGTTGCGATTTATACCAAAAGTGATTCTTTTGCTAGAATTTGGTCGGTACGTGGAGCAACTGTGGCAGAAATTTCCTGAACATTTAACGGAGGATCCGGAAGTGCAAGGTTATCGTCGGTGTCTCAAGCATTACAATTAATAAGGCGATCACATCGACGGACCCGCGCCGTATGTTAAAGATTGCGCTTTATGCAATTCATGAATCGCGTGATAAACGCGCTTCCGTTCGAACTGCACATACCCGGGTATCAATTTTGCGGTCCGGGAACTCATCTGCGGAAACGGCTCGAGTGAGGGAATCGAGGAATCAATCCGCTGGACGCGGCGTGCCGCGATCACGACATTGTGTACTCACGTAGCGACAAACTAGCGGACCGACACATCGCCGATCACGGTCTCGCCGATAGAGCGCGGAAACGTATCATCGCTAAGGACTTGACTCTCGGAGAGAGAACCGCTGCTACCGCTGTTTGGGCGGCGATGAAAGCAAAGACGAAATTGGGCATGGGAAAGATGAAGAAAAAAGTGAAAAAACGACTGCTC